CACGAAGAACAACAACCACGAAGAACAACAACCACGGAGAACAACCACGAAGAACAGATAACCATAACATCAACACAAACATCAACACAAACATCAACACAAACATCAACACAAGCACCAACACAAACATCAACACAAACATCAAACACCCCTCTCAGCCAGCCATCTACCACCAGCACACCCTGAATAATCCAAATGTCCCCCTGAGTCTGTCATACACGTCAGACGGCTCGGTGATTCAAGATGGTGCATAGGAGCCCTAAGGACTTTGGCAGCAGAACGCAATCAAATTTAATTCCATGGCATGTCGTTTAATCTTTTTTCACTCTTCTCTCCTCTCCATTCTCCTCCTTACTTCTCTTACTAAATCTATCATTAGAAACTCAGACATCTTTACTCTTATATATATACAATGATGATGATGATACATCATACGCGTTACTATCCCAAACCTAATCAAGATAACATGTATATATAGAAAGCTAGTCCTACCTCTCAACAACTCCTACAAAAAAACACACGCACGCCCAACCTACTCTATCTATCTACCCAGCTAGCTAGCTAGACGACCCTCTCTCTCTCTATCCATCAAACCAAAAGACCCCAAACATTTTCTAGAAAAAAAAAAACTTTCTTCAAGTCTTATATATAAATTAGCCCCCAAAAAACACATTATACTAGTACTATTAGTTCCTCCTCACACGAGCGGGACGAGCGGGACGAGCGGGGAAAAATATCCCCCATTCCTCTCAAAATCTCCTACTACATTACTTGTTCTGTTCTCTTTACCAAAACAAAACCAATTAATTCATTAATTCACATACGCTATCCATCCATCCATCCTCCTTGTTCCCCAATCCCCTCCTCCTTTCCTTTCCTTTCCTTCCCTTTCCTTCCCTTCACCCTCTTCACTTCACCCTCCATCCCCTCCATCCCCCCAATCCCCTCCATCCCCTCCGTTCCCCACGCACCACCCCACCCAGACCCCTCCGTCCCTCCCTCTACGCTTTAGGGAATGAATGAATGATGCCCATCCATCCTCTCGATCGATCGCCGCGGTCAGGAATGGGGATGGGATCGACAAAAGACTAATTAACTAAAATCATCAAGAAAGAGGTGAAGGGGGAGGGGGCCTGAGCCTGGGGCCTGAGGCCTGGGGCCTGAGTCGAGAACTTTGTGAGAGAGAGATCACGCCATACGGATAATAATAATAATGATAATATATGTAAATATGTCGTCGATTGGGGGGTCATGTGCCGCTCGCCCCCCGCCCTCGCCACGACGATCAATTGCGACGATCATTACGACTCCGTGTTTCAGCGTCTGGCAATCTCACGTCATTTCGCATATCTCCTCATCATTTCCACGATTAACCGTCCGTGGATTGGCGAGGGAGCCGAGTACAAGCAAGCCATAGCTGTTGGGGCTCATTCCTTCCTTCCCGACAATCAGCATCGGTCACGGTGTACACAGCACAAGCAAGAAGAGAGTCTAAAGTGGGTAAATCTGAATTCGAAGCCTTGTCAACTTCCCAACCTGAACTATCTACCAATAATCCAGATATCCTTCCTTCAGATACGAGTCTGGCTCTTCCCAGCCAACCATCTTTTACCAGCAATCCCCCTACACCCCTTCCAAGACCCTCGTGTGGTAGAGCAAGCAGCAGCAGCAAGATGCACCAGACTTTCCCAACAACAAACTCCACCGACTCGACAAAGAAAATGTGCCCATATGCTAAGTGTGATTCCCCATCGGGCGCGCAAACTGTGTTGTAAATCGTACACCCAATCCTCTCCTTTGTTGAATAATGCCTTTGTGCTAGTACACGACAGTAGAAGAAGAGGAAACAAGAGGGGTATAGTATGATGAATGTTCGGCTCTTGGAAAAAAGAGCCCATGAAGAATTGCGCCTTGGGGATATCGATCCGTCCATGATGTTGCTGATGATGTTGTAAAATGATGATAGAAACCTCCAAAAAAATAATAGCCCGTCACTCCAAATGCTCTGATGCTATGCCTGAACGCGCCAACTCTTGCTGCTTGCTTGCTTACCGTGATTGAGAGGAGATGATTGAAAGAGACGAAAGGAAAAACTGAGACGGTGCTGTGATGCTCCATCACGACAGAGCCAGACTACAAGTGGAGGTCGTTCCAACCTCCAACCCACTCTAGATCGCCAATATCGTCGTGCAGCCTGCCCGGCTGATATTGCGATGCCTGCGCCTTCAAATTATTGTGGCGGCGCCAGTCGTTACTGGTAAGCCATTCCCTGCTGGCGCTCCAGTCCTTGCGCTCCCATAAACCATGGCTATCTTTGTTGTTTGTCTTGTCAACTTGACCGGAGCCAACCCACGGTAGCTGACGTCTCCAAGAAGCCGCACGGCTTCGCTTGCGAGGAGTCTCCCTGGGCGGAGACGATACTTCTTTAATTGGCGACACCTCTTTCTTCGGCAGAGGGTCCTTCTTTGGGGTAGGTACACCACGACGGAGATCACCAAGCTTGGCCCAACGGTCCATGGGACTTCGCTTTGATGGTGGAGAGTACTTTGCCACGTGAGGAGTCGTAGCATGGTCTTCGAAGATGAAGCCGGTAAGTTCGCTGACACGATGGTCAACGGACTGAGATACCGGGCTTCGGTTCCTGCTATTGTTGACAGTAGCAGCATTCATCTCAGACAAGCCTGCACGAGGGGTTGAGACACCAGACTCGCTCTCGCGGCCCCAGATCTTCGCCTTGTTGGTCGGCATAGGGGTAACGTCATCGTTCTCAGTCTCACTGCTGCTCGCGTGCTCTTCTTCCTCCTCGTCCCAAAGGTCACTCCAGCTCTTGGAACCAAAGTCACGCTTCTTGCCGAGTACACTGGACAGGGTAGGGCCTTTGGAGAAGTTGATGGGCAAGGAGCCTGAGATTGTGACAGGCTTGGAGCGGTTCATGTCCATCGGCTTGGCATCTGAGCTCTCGTGAGACTTGTAAGAGACACCGAGACCAGAGTCAACAAAGGAGATTGCTGATGCCGAGTCTCGCTTGACACCATACCAGTCCTGGTTTGACGGGAACATCTCCTCTTCCCCATCCTCGTAAATCTCCGTGTCTTTGATGGTGGAGAGTTGACGAATCTGCTGAGGAGGCGACATTGCCAAGGCCTTGGCCCAGGGGAAGGAGCCGTTGGTGTCAACTTGAGGCGAAGAGATGGAAGGAGTACGCAGGGGCTCACGATCAAGGGTAGCCGGGATGACATCGCGGTTGTCAGTGCAGAAGTCGTCGAGAGTCTCATCGTCAGTGGTAAAGTTGACAGCACGTTCCAGAGCCTCCCTGACTGCCGATAGGGACCGCTTGTTCGGATCGATAGCCAAAGAGTGAGTCAAGACCTCGTAGGCGTCCTGAGACATGTTTGGAAAGACATCGAAGAGGGACTGGCGATCGGCAGCGAAATCGGAGAATAGAGGATCGGAGATGGTCGGGGTAGCAAATGGGTTCCTGGAGAAGAGAACATTGAGGAGACAGATGCCGATAGCCCAAACGTCTGCCTTTGCAGGAGAATAGCCATTAACACTCACATCATACTGCTCAGGAGCCATGTAGCGATCACTGCCGACAGCCGACTCAAAGTTCCAGTGCTCGGTAGTAGCCAATCCAAAGTCACCAAGCTTCATGGAACCCGAGGCGGTCAGGAATATGTTTTCAGGCTTGATGTCTCGGTGGTAGATGCCTCGGGCGTGGAGATATTCGACAGCACCGACAAGCTGAAGCATAAAGTCTCGTACATGCTCGGTCTCGAGTGGCCCCTTGCCGAGACGGATGGCTTCGTAGAGGTCGCCATTGGAGCAGAACTCAAGAACAAGGTAGATGTGATGATCAGTCTCGAAAGATTGTACCAAGTTGACAATGTGGGGATGGTGGTCGATCTTGTGGTGGATGGCAACCTCCTCGGACTGGTCATCGACAGCAAAGCCACTGGTAGGACAGACAGTCTCGCCAGTGCTCTTGGTCAAGCATTTGATAGCTACAAGATCACCGGACTGGAGATCGCGCGCGGTGAAGACCATGCCAAAGGAGCCATGGTTGAGAGGCGAGATGGTCTCATACCGCCCATTTAGCACACGACCTTCAACGAGTTGATTGCGCATGCACTCCATGGAGAATGATGTATCGGCAAGCTAGTAGCTGGGGTACCGGAGAGCAAAGGAGATCCGAGAGAATCCGGACGGAAAGAGGCAAGTATATAAACAGCGCAGAGCACTAACACTGAGTCGTAGTCAAACAGAGGAAGTCGATCTATCGAACTTTTTTTCTGTCGAGCGTAATATCGGTCGATGACACACGAGGTAAAAGCGAAAAGGAGAAGCGATGGACAGACTTTAAAGAGCAAGGACAAAGCGTGAGCTGAGGAGTAACGCAGAAAGCTCAAGGCCGCCGGTGCAGATGATGGAACTCCGTCGTATCGATGGTGGTCGTATCGGAAATATGAACAGGTTGGGATCCGTCGACGGGATAAAAAGCAAAAAACAAGGAAATCAGGTAGAGAGTGTCGTTCTCATTGGTTTTATTAATTGTATATGGATGAATCCGATGGAACGAGTGATCGAAAGGCAAGTTGAAGCAGTCGTTAGGGAATGGCAGTAGCGGGTCCAAGGGCCAAGCAGTGCAGAAGGAACGCTAAGACGGCTCGAAGAAGGAAATCGTGAGACGTAGAGTATAGGTAGCGTGAACGGCGTGGAAGACGGAAAGAGTCGAGAAAGTTGACAATGGAAAGAGTCGTGAGTCAGGGCACTGGAGGTCTCACTAGGAGTCAACTCGGGGAGGGTGGAGTAGTCTTGATGACGCAGCTTTCGGACGACAGCAGTAACGTCAAAAAAAGGCCAAATGTGTCCGGAAACAATGAAGTCGCTGGAGATGTTGTGAAGCTGAGCAAGCTGAGGCTCTGGATCTTGGAGCGAGGAGTTGATGAGTGGGGAATGACGATGTGGACGACGGTTCCAGCGTCTTGTCTCTTTGATATGCAAGCCTGGTATTGGAGTCTCTTTCACATCAATGCAACAGTCAAACGGCGGACGGGGTATGGACTGATGGAGTGGTTGGTAGGTAGGTAGAAGTCGTAGGAGGAGGAGTAGGAGTGTAGATGTCGAGATGGGAGGTGAGGGGATTGAGGGCGAGAGGTTTAGAGGTGATTGAGCAGGTACGACGGAGGTATATGCGGGAGGTTGCGTCGGGTAACGAGGAGAATTGAGGACGAGAGGCGGAGTATGAGTAGTAGAAGTAGTAGTTGATGAGTCGTAACGTAGGTAGAGGAAGGCGTGCTCGCTCGCTCTCGTGGACGGAGGAAGACGACAGCGTGGAGGAGGAGGGCGATGGGTTATGACATTGCGTGACAGGGAACGACGATGTAGAGAGCGAAGCTGAAGGCGAAGATGATGGACAGGTAGTAGGTGTGAAAGGACACGATGAAGACGGAGAGGGAGACGAGCGATGGTTATGGCCTGTTCCTCGATGGAGTCGGTGTGTGACAGGCGACTGATTGGTTGGGGCTGTCTTTGGTGGACATTTTGGTAGAGAGGGGGGGGGAGGGGGGGTGGTGGATGTGCAAAGCTGTGAGTGACTGAGTAGTCCTAGCGTGGTCTACTGTGTAGGTGAGAGAGTGTGAGAGAGTGTGTGTTGCTGACTGACTGACTTGCGGGCGCGTTGCTTAGGGGGAAAGCGTCAATGAGGAGGAGGAGAAGGGCGAGAACCGATGATCACTGCCTCATTGTCTAGATCCCTGTAAGCGCACACCATCCACCACACACAGACACACTACACGCACCAAGTCCTTGCTAACCAACGCCCCATTGCAGCAAAGTCTGCATGAAAATAGCACGAAATGGTATAAGCAGCCAGTCAGAACCAGCCAGAAAGTGGGCGGCCATGAGTCGCTAATTTGCGGCGAGGACTAGTAAACACACAACACACACACACACATACACAGTACACAGTAGTGCCTGCCGGGTCTGGTGCCAGTAATTAGTGCCTGTGCCTGCCTTGCTTGCCCTTTGCAAGTCGTGCCTGCCAGTTATTAAATTTAGTGCCTGCCTAGTGCCTAGTACCTACCTACCCAGTTGGCCAGTGACCAGTCGTGCCTTCCTGCCAAAAGGGCCTCCACCGCCTTCGACCTGATTCTTTCTGTTGTTTTCTGTCCGACTGTCCGGTCCGTGATTCGTCCCAATCAGCTGCACGCGCTGGGCAAGCCGCACTATCCCCAATTCCGCTTAGCTCCAATACCAGCAGCCTGTCACCGGTTCTCTCCACGTGACTCTATCGTGCGCAGTAGTTCCTCTCACTCTTTCTCTCACTCACTGTCTCTCTAATTAGCTATTCCTCAGCAAACCTCTCTGTAGCTTAATGGCAGCAATTCCATCCACTTGTCCGTGTTGCAGTCTGTGTATTATGAGTGATTAATATGATGATGATGACGATGATAATCTTGATGATCATTGTGATTGCGTGTCATCAACAAGCTTCCCCGCCTGCTATGGCCAGCCCTGAAACCGTGAGCGCAACTGTTAGCAAAGGGGCCCCTGGCCTTGATTTGCCGTTGACAAAGCGCCCGCCGCCCATGGACCCAGCCAGAAGCTTCCCCAGCACTCCAAGCACTCCAACAGCACAAGCAAGCACCACCACCACAAGGCCCCTACACGGCCGTTTCACCTAACCGCCATCCTCCCATTCGGCATTCCGTACCTCTCTCCTGAACCCGTTGCACAACCACTGCTGCTCATTTATGGAGCTGCTGACGCCTCTGCCTGCCATTGATCATTGTGCTCAACTTATTATTGCTGAGCTGTCATCTAACATTTTTGACAGCTTGGACGGGTTGCTCCTTGTTGGCTTCATCAAATCCCATATCCCGTGATATCGTACTCCTTGATGCTCCCAACAACCAACACTATCTATTCTTGCTAATACATAGAAGGATGCACTCCCGAGATGACCCCATGAGCGCGAGACCATCGACGTCAGGGTGCGCCATCAGCGTCCGCAACGCAATCGGGATGCCTGCATGCCCCTTTTCGTCCCGAGGACTTCACCCTTCGCATGGCCTATCGTGTTCCAGTGCTGCCACACCTTTCGTGCCAGCATGCTGTGTATCCTGGTGTACTAATCTTCTACAAGACAGCTCACGGCAAGACATCGTCCTGCAAATCGGCCAGTAGTGCGTGCTCGCACTACAACGTTATCGGATATGCACGGTCGCCTCGTCCTGTTATTGGCCTCGTGAGCCTGAGGCATGTGCACTTGAGACATTCGTACTCTTTATCCAATACACCAAAGCACCCTACGTGGCCCTTCTCGGCCTATCTCGACACTCATGATTCGTGAAGGCTGCCAGATTAAGCTGTTGGACTCTGAGGCGGTCTGGCCTCGCGACTCGCAAAGCCCGGCGATCATCTCTGCAACACCATCTGACTATCTCTAGCGCAACTTCGCCATCGACTCTCGATACTTTGTCTGCTTCTCACCATCTCTTTTCAATCATGCGCTATACCAGGTCGTCTAACCGTAATCTCTTTGACCATATCGCAGAACCAGATAATCATGCGGCACGGCTGGCTGGCGGCAATCTATCGCGGCCGAGTACCCTCTCTACTGTACCGTACCTGTACCGTCTCTACTCTCTAGCCCGAGCCGTCATGTAGTCCTCACCCTGCCGCTCCCGCCCTGCAAGGAACAGCCAACTCTAAAACCATAATTGCCCGCTACAATCGGAATAGCCATCGCACGCGCTCCATCAACTACACCGTAACACCTTCCACCTGGCCAGATCGCCAACACCACAGCACGAGTTCAGAAAGTGCTCAGATGTCGCTGTAACCTTGAGCCGGAGAACAGCCTGCTTCGTGTAACAATCATGAAGCAGACAGTGCGAGCACGGCAGCACCAAGAGCTCGTTAGCGCTTGACTGAGCCAGATAAGTAAGCTACCGTATAGCACGAGGAGCTCCATATAGAGTACAATCGTTGCACGGGCAGTCTGTACGACAGTCTGTCGCTATAATACTTCTACCACTGTCCTCCACGCCAAGTACCCTGTAAAAGTATGAAGTTGCCTACTGGGTGCTGACATCGCTCGCGACCGCTCTTGTAACAAGCCAATAGCTAGAATAGAGAATACTAGTCTAAAGCTGGTGAGAATAGCGAAATGGTAAATATAAGTTCCCTTTGCTGTGCTACCTCCTGCTATCCCAAATACGTAGACGAATCACTCTACTCGCTAAGAACGGCCATGTACCTGATTATTCTTACGTCGCTGTCTATAATTGATGAACCGCCTCTATACTAGACCGAGTCCGTCCTAGCGCCCGCGGCGTACTCCCTCGTTCCCGTAGGTCTCCCGTGCATACTTGAACTACACTACCTTGACATTAATCAACTTCTCTCTTCACCTCACCACCTCACCTTACCTCACCTCATGTCTTACTCTCTAGCTATCTGTCATATAGTCCATAGTCAAAGTTCAACATTTCAACTTCCTCGCTGGATCCTTACTTCTCGACCACTGTGACACCTTTCATTTCAGCATCAGTCAACACTCAACGCAACATCGTCTACAGAACCCTGATCAACAATTGTAAGGAACTGCACTCGTACTGATAGTCCTGTCAGTCAGTCGGGACCTTGACAGCTGTACTCGTGTCATATATACTCTTGCCACCGTCTATAGCCTCTTATCACGCCCCTATATACCCCAAACAAGATAAAGCGTATAAAGTCCCCCTTGCCCAACGAAACCTGTCCTGCATCGAGAAAGGATCGTGACATACATCATGATTACTCGCATCGTACTATCGAAACCCACTCAAGATCCCCCATACGATCGCACTAGCCTCTCTGTCTCATGCACGCACTAATCCTGCTAGCACTAAATACCGCATTGTCTGAACATCAACACCTTTGTGTGACCATACAACCACGACATACCAGATACTGTGACAACACTCTGCCTCTGAAGCAATACTGTTCTGATTCCTGTCCATGCATTCCAGTCTTCGGTATGTTCTCGACCAACTTACTACAGGATGTTGCGGAGCAAAGCAACATAGCCCCCCCACCATCATCGCCATTCACCGAGCGCTAATTTGTACGAGTGGCTTGACAGACGACTGAAGGATCACGTATAACATTGGGACGTGGTTGCGCTAGAGCTGCGGGCAGCTAATCACAAGATAGAGATCTATATATCTGAAGATCTTATCTCTGTGATCTTTGGGGCTCTGAGTTCTAGGGATCCGAATAGTTCCAAGTGAGAGACACTCATCGTGATGATATCAGTCTCTAACCGTACATACAGCTCCTGCTGTCCAGCTTCCATTGAGTATGTAATACGACAGTTCTAACAAAACAATCTCAACACCATACACAGCATACATATACACTCCATCCAACAACATCTCCCACCTGCCCTTGACATTCTCCCTGAAGAAACCCACAGAAACGCCACACACTATGCTCTTGACACCAAGCCTCATGCAAAACCCCACGCCAGCAGATCAAACCATTCAAATCATTCAAACAACCCAAACTCCAAAAAGCCAACCACAGCGTGGCGCACCCCGTAGTCCGTGTGACCAAACCATCCCCCAAACATCTTCCCCACAAGATCTCCAGATCCAAGCACGCCCACCAATCAAACCAGCAGAGCGATCCCCACTGAGGAGCTCATCGAGAAAGCGACTCAGCCATGCTAAACGCGCTTCGCTCGCAATGCGAGATTGTGCACGGCGGACGCACCTCGACAAGCGGAATTTGGAATATCGCATCCGTGGAGGTTGTGTCCAGGTCGTCTATATAAGACAGGTCGTTCGCTCGCTCCAGAGTCCCCTTTCTTCTTCATCACAATCATCATCTTCCAACTTTCCAACTACTACAACCAAACCACCACCACCCACAATCTTTCCAACCACACCGAGTCCTCACACTCCCTTCCAACAAAACCAGCAACCATGAAGTTCTCCATCTGCATCCTCGCCTCCCTCATCTCCGCCGTCATGGCCGCGCCCCTCGAGGCCGCCGCCGAAAAGCGCCAGGTCAACCCGGCCGCCGCGTGCGCGGACAAGATCCCGTACCAGTCGTGCAGCTACGTCGTCGACTCGGTCACCATCAGCGGCGATTGCATTGCTCTTTCCAACGGCGTCTTGGTCGTAAGTCCTGATTTCTCTCTGCCCACCCAATAACGCATTCTCTGCTAATCGGGGACGGACATGTATAGTGCGAGCCAGACTTCTAGACGACCACACCACCACCACCACCACGCACAAAAATGACTATTACTCGCAAACTCAAGCTGCTGTGACGGAACAACGACGTTGCTAACGCTAGAGACCATCCGTCGAGGGGAGAAAAGCTAGGGAGCTAGGGTGTAAGGGGGGAGGAAATTTCCGCAGGAAAGGACGATCTCTAGATGGAGGATTCATATATATATATGCCAAGTGTCTCATTTGACAAAGGGCATGGTTTTGAGTACACTCGCTGCATGCGCGCGCAGATATCAAATGCAATCCCAAATTCTTACGCCGCCAATTTTTTGATATATTCTGCTTGTGATGTTGTTGTTGTTGTTGTTGTTGTTGTTGTTGTTGTTGTTGTTGTTGTTGTTGTTGTTGTTGTTGTTGTTGTTGTTGTTGTTGTTGTTGTTGTTG